TCAGGCCCTGGCCAGAGGCCACGATGGGGCCCTGCTGGCTCAGGAGGGAGGGCTTCTCAGCCTCACCTGGGGAGACCAGACATGAGTTACAGGGGGTGCTTCCCCCATAAACCCCTTCTCCTGGTCTTGCCCCCAGATCTGACTGTCTCTTTCTGTGTCTCTGGCCCAGGATCCCATGTTTTCCCACACCCTACCTTCTCACCTGTGGCTCTCCTTACAAAAAATACCCCAATAACCTGGCTGGTACCTCAATCTATGGATGGGACAATAATGGGACTCACCTGGGACCAGGAGCTCCAGGGTGTCACTGGGGTGTGAGCACACCTGGGGGCTGTTTCTGTAACAGCCATAGCATCTGAACATCCACCTGTGAATGGGGGTCACGGGGCCCACAGGGAACAGGGCCTGGGACTGCCCACTGGGCTGTGGCTGTGAGTCCAGGGTCCAGGAGAGCCTGTGATCTCCTTTCTTAGTCAGAATGAACCTGTCAAATCCCTGCCCTGAGCCACACTGGAAGGTCACGTTCCCTCCTGAGGTCACGACAGGGCCGGGCAGGGCTGAGAGGCTGGGTTTGCTGTAGGATCCTAGGAGAGGAGGAGGCAGCATGTTAAATGGGCTCACACCTCCCTCACGTCCCCCAGGGCTGGGCTGTGAGAGGGAGACACCCTGAGAGCAGACCCCCTTCCTGAGGGCAGGGCCTGAGGCTGGGACCCCTGAGTGTCCTCTCACCTGTCACCACCAGCTTCAGGGGGTCACTGCGCTCTGACCGGCCAGCAGGGCTGCGATAGAAACAGTGATGTCTCCCTGCATCACGCTCTGTCACGTGTGGGATGGAGAACATCACCTTGTCCCCGGGCTCCTGTGGCTTCTGTAGTTTCCCTGGTGCTGGGCTTCCCTCTTTCTCCAGATGGTACTCCTCTGCCCCTGGGGTCCCCTGACACCAGATGGTCACGGGGTTCCCCCAGTGGATCACAGGGCCTGGCTCAGCCCAGAGGGTGGGCTTGGGGAGGGGCCCTGGAAGGAATCAGAGGCTGGGTCACAGGACATCCCCACCCCTCGTCCCAGTTCTCAGTCCCAGATGGCCCCCATCTGTCAGACCCATCTGCACCTGTTTCCCAGCTGCCTGGTGGCCCTTGTCCCCAGTGAGGAGTGGGACCTGGGACTCCTGGGGAGACTCACCTGCCTGCACTGGGGTCCTGAAGCCCACACTCAGCCCTGGAAGAGAGTCCCTGTGAGAGATTTGCCCTGAACCCTGAGCAGCACCCTCCTCCCCATGAGTCTCCTGAGTCCTGGGGTCCTGACAGACCAGGGCTCACTCCCTCCTCCCATCTCACCGAGGCAGAGCAGGGCCCTGAGGGTGAGGGTCATGGCCTCTTCCACCTGTGGCCACAGCTGAGGAGATGTTGGAGGCCAAGGGGCCAGCAGGATGGACAGACAAATGCACGCGTGGTGGTCAGTTGGAGTACGGCCCTGCCTGTCACGAGGTTCTCACATGAGCAGCCTATAGGTGAGGGCCCAGCCTCTCTAGCAGCCTGGCTCTCATTTTCATGGCGAAGCAGGTAATAGACCCGCAGCCTCCTGAGAGGCCCCTTGCAGGTGAGGTGGCCTAGGGCACGTCCTTCCCTGTCTGAGCCTCCCCCACGGGGTCTCCTTCCCCCTTAGCCCCTCCATCAGCACCTCCCTGTGGTCCTCACCATGGACAGTGCCACCCGGGCCCTGGAGATGCTTCAGGAAGAGGTGGGTTCCTGTGGCCTGCAGAGCTCAGATCATCAGGGACAGGCTCACCTGTCAACTGTGCAGCTCAGGGTGATGTCCTGGTGAAATGAGCACAAAGGGGAAATGCAGGGAAATAAGGGAAGGAAACAGGTCTCCCCCTCTGGCCCCAGAGTGTGGTTCTCTTCCTATCCCAGCCCCTGGTCACCTCCCCTTTCTTGCAACAGCACCCTCCCCATCAGGGGGGTAACTCACCCATGAGTCCCTCCTCCCCTCACTGCCTTGTTCCTCAGGAAGATCTCTCTTCCTCCTCCTGGGCCCCTGTCTTCACAGTCAGTGACCATAAGTGTGTTATTGCTCCGATTTGGGGAACAAAACTGATCTCATTTATTTTTTATTTTTTAAAAATATTTTTATTGATTACAGAGAGGAAGATAGAGCGCGAGAGAGAGACAGATACATCAATGATGAGAGAGAATCACTATCACTGACTGGGTGCCTCCTGCTCGCCCCACACTGGGGATCCAGCCCACAACCCGGGAATGTGCCCTCACAGAGAATCAAACCTCAACCTCCTGGTACATAGATGGATGCACAATCCCCGAGTCATGCTGGCTAGGCTGATTCTTATGTAAATAGTCCTTCCTTGTCCATTAGGTGTGTGACCTTCACCCTCAATGTACAATCTCTCGAGTCGCAGTTTCCTCTCCTGCAGCAGGTCGTCAAGAACCCAACCCCTTACAGTGGTTGTGGGGTCAGTGCCCGGGGTCCTGGAGGGAGCCATCCTGGTTTATTTCCACACCTGACTAAGCCTGTGAGGTGAGCCATGAGAGGTGTTGTTCAGAGCTCCGCAAGAATTGGCTGGTTGCTATACCCACGTACAAATCCCCATCTGGTCCTGATGCTGAGAAAGGCTATGCACGGTGTTTCTGAAGCATGTGGCCATCCTCAGTGCCCTATAAGGGAAGTGGGAATTCCCTAGATGGACAGGGAAGCAGAAGAGACAATGGGAGCCAAGCCTGAGTGGCTACTGTGCCTGGGTGCAGCCAGAAGTCATCAGTATGGAGCTTCCCACCTCCGTGTGGACAAGAGAGGGACCCAGGGTGGCCACACACAGGGAGGGGAATGGACTCAGGGTGAAAGTTGGAGCAGGGCTGCTCCCTCCACATCGTTTGGATATGGGCACTGGGGCCTCTCTGCCCACAGACCCAGCCCATGGTCAGCACTGAGCCATGTCCTCTGTGTGTGTGTGGAAATGGATTCAATCCATTCTAGCTGAGCATGGGCACCTGTCCAGGTGTGAGTGTGAGGCTCACCTTTGGCGTGGGCCCTGCTGGGCACGTCACAGTCAGATGATAACTTAGGGAGAGAGTACGCCATGGGGCAGGGCAGATCCGACTCCCCACCTCTTTTCATCCTGAACATCAGGACAGCCCTGGGAGGGGCCCTCTGCTTCCACCGGTGTCCAGGCCTCGCCAGCCTTTTATTCAACTTTGATTACACATAAAGGCCTCAGTCAGGCAGGTAATTACAGTAACAGACGGGCTATCTTAAAGGTCTGTAAATATTAGAAGGATTTACTCTTAGACTATTTGTTCAGAAAATAGCTTGAGTCCCCATTGTCAGGACTAGACAATCAGTGCATAACTCAGGCCCTTGCCATGGGTTCAAGGTTGACCAGCATTCCCTGATCCTTGTTTGCACTTCTCTGCTAGTGAAGAGAATGGACAGCCTCTCACAAATGGGAAATCCCATGGGGTGAGAGCAGGGAAGGGCTTGCCTCCCATACACCCTCCCCTACTCCCTGCCCCACCCCTGCCTGCCTGTCCTTCCGTAACCTCCCCTGCAGGATGGGGGCACCATGGCTGTGCCGGCCCAGCTCTCCCAGACCTAGTCATCAAGTGGGACCCCTTCATGTGGAAAATGCTACAGACAGGGAGGTACGGGCCATCCCTGAGGTAACTGGCTGCTGCTGCTGCTGCTGCTGCTGCTGCTTTCCTGAACATATCAGGCTCCCAGATCTGACACTGGGAAAGGTTAGGGATTTCGCTGACCCAGAAGGCAAAGGTTGTCCTGAGCAAAGGGGAATTGTTCCTTGCTCTGTGTCTTGTGCATGTACCCAGAATGCATTGCAGCGGTCTCCGATGAACTTGACACCAGGCTGTTCCTCACCCAGATTTCACCACACCCATAGTGCCTTGCTGCACAGTGGGACCTCTGCAACGGGGACCTGTGGGCTGTAATATCTGAAGACAAGGCCAGACATGGTGCCATTTTTTGATTTTTTTAAGCCCCATGTGTGGATTTCTGTCTGTGATAAAGGGAAACCAGCGTCGCTCACCTCTAAGCAGCCTGTGGCTGCCCTTGGAAGCCTTTGGGAGCTGAGTGGTGTTGTACATGGTGGGAAGTTCAAGGAGATGAGTCTGCAGGTGCCATGTGCTTGGTAAAGGGCACTTTGGAGCAAGCACCTGTGCCCATGTCCTGGCCTCCAGCCTTGTGCCACCTGCTAAGAGGAAAACGTGGGTTGGATCCCTTGCAGAAAAAGCTGAAGAGGATGACATCTTCCTAGAAACTGATAAGGACATTGATGAGTTTGTGTTTGGATTGGAAGTTTGTGAGATCTTCCTGGAGACAGGGTTAGCTTCTACCTGAGTAGCTTACATTTGGGTGCTATGTGACCCTGTGGGAAGCTTTCAAAGGACATGTTTGCCTTGGCTTTTCACCCAATCAATCAGAAGTTAATAAAGGGCATTGATCCTCCTCACATCTTTACTCCTGAGATTCTCCCACGATCAGACAAGGCCGTTTTACCAAAGAGCATCAGAGGATACAGTCCTGCTTAAGATTTCTCTGCTATTAAGGAGCTAGATGCTTTTAACAATGACACCATTGACCTAAAGAGGGACCTTATGTGCAAGAGGATCTTAAGGAGAAAGAAGATGCTCTATTTTAAAAAATTCTCACCTAAGGACATGTTTGGAGAGAGGGAGGAGAGAGGGAGACAGAGAAATATGGATGTGAAAGAGAAACATTGATCAGTTGCCTTCTACTGGTGCCCAGAGACTTAACCCTCAACCCAGATGTGTGTCCTGACCTGGAGTTGAACTAGCAACCTTTCAGTGCACAAGGTTATGCTCAACCCACTGGGCCACTCCAGCGGGTTGAAAGATGTACTCTTCAACAGAGAACAGCATGGGCCAAGGTCTTCAGGATGAACTTCAAAGCTAAATGCTAATCTGAAAAGACTACAGGCCCAGAAACAGCAAGGACAGGGTCTCCTTAATGGGCTGGATGAGCAGGAAGCTCAGCTGTAGGAGCAACTCAGGGAAGTCAGCCTAATGGGCTGAGGAGGCCCAGCTGCTCACATCCCTGGAAGCTGAAGTGACTAGTCAAGACTTGCAGATCTCCACT